TATTACCTGCTCCTGATTCAGGCGGAAGCCATAGAGGGTTTACAAGGGCATCTGGTAGACTGGCATGAGCCATAACCCTTTGGGGTTGACATGACACCCCACTAATCCCTGGCCTTTCTTGTAGAGGTACCCCATTCCTGGTGGATGCCTCTGCGCTACTAGTGGATGCAACTGCACTACTGGTGGTAGCCAGCTCTTCACCAGAACGCCTTCATTTGTAGGACACACTTTCTTCCTCCTCTGATTCCATTACAGTACCACTACTTAGCACTGTCTCGTAATCAGAATTTGACACAGAGAGCTCCCCTCTACTCTTGTTGGTCGGAGATAGAATTTGATATGCCTCCTCACAGGTAAATGATTTGTTTACAAATACTGGTGACTGTGGTGACACAGTGCTGTGATGGGGACACTGAGTGAAATGCGGCTGCACTAATGGGTGCTGATGTGGCTGCACTGATGGATGCTGATCAGCTACACTGATGTGATGCAGCAGCACAGATGAGGCGGCACTAGTCAGTTACACTGATGTGATGGTTGGTGATGCGGCTGTACTGATGGGTGCTGATCAGCTACACTGATGTGATGGTTGGTGATGCGGCTGCACTGATGGGTGCTGATCAGCTACACTGTGATGGTTGGTGATGCAGCTGCACAGATGGAGCGGCACTGGTCAGCTACACTGATGTGGTGGTTGGTGATGTGGCTGCACAGATGGCTGCTAATGCAGCTGCACTTGTGGGTGCTAATGTGGCTGCACAGATGGGGCGACACTGGTCAGCTACACTGATGTGGCGCTTGGTGATGTGGCTGCACACATGGGTGCTGATGGGGCGGTACTGGTCAGCTACACTGATGTGGTGCTTGGTAATGTGGCTGCACATATGGGTGCTGATGGGGTGGTACTGGTCAGCTACACTGATGTGGTGGTTTGGTGATGTGGTTGCACAGATGGCTGCTAATGCAGCTGCACTTGTGGGTGCTAATGTGGCTGCACAGATGGGGTGACACTGGTCAGCTACACTGATGTGGTGGTTGGTGATGTGGCTGCACACATGGGTGCTGATGGGGCGGTACTGGTCAGCTACACTGATGTGGTTGGTGATCAGATGCACAGATGGGTGCTGATGTGGCTGCACAGATGGGTGCACTGAAGGGTGCAATTGGCACTGATCAGGCTGCACTTATGGGCACTGATATGCATGGATGAAGCTGCACAGATGGGGCAGCACTGCTGAGCTATGCTGATGTGCACTAATGGGTGCTGATGAGGCTCCACTGAAGAGGAACACTGATAAGTGGCACGAATGAGCACTGATGAGACAAAGTTCTCCACTGATGTGCACTGATTAGGTAGCTCTGATGGGCTCCACTGATGAGGGAGCACTGATAGTTGGCACTGATAAACAACATTGATAAGGCATTAATGAGGGAGCACTGATAGTTGGCACTGATGAGCACAGTGTGACAGTTTGGGCACTGTGTGACAGCAATACAGTAAACTCACTGCGATGGCACAGATGGCTCCTTCCTTCACTCTTCTGTGTGAGGGAAGGAGAGTTGTCAACCCCCAGATGACCTGCAGTGTTTACATATAGTGATCACATCATTAGGCACGCTGATCATGTGGTAAAGGGCCGCGGTGATTGTCCCTTTACCTCAATATGTGATGTGCTGTGTCCAAAAGAAACAGCAATCACAGGCACTGCTGGATGTGCGCCCCAGGGGTTGCGCGGGGGAGTGCGTTCTCGGGAGGACATCCATGGATACCCTCCCAGAACTAAAAGACTGTGTTGTAGCCGTCTTTCAGCTGTAGCACGGTCAAGAATAAGTTAAGGGCCGGTTCACACTCCATGTGTTTCAGTTGCTTTTTTTTTCTGCATCCAAAATGCACAGAATGTAGGTTATATGGTTGTCAATGTCATAGTTCACATCAGTGCTTGCAGTTCCAGTGTGTTCTGGCAGAAGAAAAAAAAAATAGAACAGACTGCATTATTCTTGCACAGAACTGTACTGGAACACGGTACTATACATCAAAAATGCACCAAAACACACATGTCCCTATTTTAACTGGAACACATTAACAAATGCAGCAGAACGCACATGTGGAAACATATCCGGAACGCATCTGGACTGCATTTCTATGGTGTGAACCCGCCCTAAAGGAGAAGTTTAGGGGCCATGAACAAAACAAAACAAACATAGCTCTATGCTGAAGATGTCCTTAACCAGCTCTAACACCAAGTACCGAGTGATCACACAACCACTCATCGTTCAGCTCTCTCCAGTGGAGAGTATTGACTGTCAGTCACCGCTCTCCACTTCCAGCGCTCACAGAACTGCAGTGGGGTAGGCACACCTGGCTTTGGCTCTTAGCTGTGTACAGAGAGGCTGAGCCAGCTGCCAATCGGGTATCTGGGTGGATCCTGACAATACTGTCAGGATCCTTCTGGAGGGGCTCTGTGACATCAGCTGTGAGCAGGTAATAGCTGCCATAAGCTGACTCTGGGCACAGAACAAAGAAAGTGCAATTCTGTGACCCAACAGAGAAGTATGACTAATAAAGATGTGGCCATACTGCTCCTTTAATAAAGCTTTGATCCGTGCTGCTGGTTGCAGGTAGTGTGAAGGCGCCCTAACAAGCCCAGTGGTGTGGTGTCTTTTCTTCTTCTCCAGCCTCACAATCCTGACATCCTCGGGGGCATATTTCCCACAAGGCAAACAAGGCACTTGCCTAGGAGGGCAGCACCTCCCCCCCCCAGAAGAAGGGACGGGATGGAAGGGAAGGGACATGAGTGCCATGGGAACCAGGTGGGATCCGAGGGAGGGGCTGCTTGATGGTGTATGTCAGAGCCTGACTCTCGTTCCCAGGGATGTCCGGAGCTGCGAAGATGAAGGGTGGGGGTGTTGTTGGTCAATGTCAAGCTCTCCCTGTGGGAGGGGGGTGGGGTCTTGTTGGTCAATGTCAAGCTCTCCCTGTGGGGGGGGTGGGGGTGGTAGTGGTCAATGTCAAGCTCTCCCTGTGGGGTGGTGGTGGTCAATGTCAAGCTCTCCCTGTGGGGTGGTGGTGGTCAATGTCAAGCTGTCCCTGTGGGAGGGGTGGTGGTCAATGTCAAGCTCCCCCTGTGGGAGGGGGGTGGTGGTGGTCAATGTCAAGCTCCCCCTGTGGGAGGGGTGGTGGTGGTCAATGTCAAGCTCCCCTGTGGGAGGGGTGGTGGTGGTCAATGTCAAGCTCCCCTGTGGGAGGGGTGGTGGTGGTCAATGTCAAGCTCCCCCTGTGGGAGGGGTGGTGGTGGTCAATGTCAAGCTCTCCCTGTGGGGGGGGGGTGGTCAGTGTCAAGCTCTCCCGTGGGGGGCAGACGACTTTTGTGTTGCCTAGGGCAGCACAACACCTAAATCCACCACTGTACATCCTGCAAAACCTGTATTGAAGTCCTGCACAGAGGATACAGGCCGGAGTGGGCGGAGCACTGTGGTAACACCCCCAGTCCCCCCTCACCTCACCACCACCAATTCAATTAATCTCGTGATCTCAAGTCACGTGCTGGTGGTCACCTGCTGTCACACCTATGGAATGTTTGCTCCATTAACACTGTCAAGCGTATTTTACCTCGAAAGCGAGCGTTCCCCACGCCGCATAGCTGTATCCTGTCGGAGTCCAAGCACAACAGAACACTGAACGACCACCGTTTCGTTCCCGCGCCTCACATTTGAAGGCCGGTGCCGTTACCCTAGCAACCAACCAAGCTTTCTCTTCCGCCCCGAGAGCACTTCCTTGGACATGTAACAAGCGTAGTCCCTTACTGGGGGGGTGGCTAATGGTGAATAGATTCAACCCCGGATGCCGATTGGTTAACAGTCCAAGTCGGCTTAGGCTCACTCCATGCCGGCTTCCAATAGAAACCGAAGCCGCTCCCGTGACGTCCATAGTGCGTAGCAGCGGTGACCAATCAGAGCTCAGGAAAGACATCGCTCGGTGTTTGCGTGACAGCTGAGCCTTCTCTGTCCCGGTGCTGAAGAGGAAAAAGTTGAACATATAAAGACGAGGGAAGGCTGCAGAGCGCTGACAGACTGCCGGCGTCCTGAGGGAGGTGAGCGCTTCCGTCCTTCTGTGACACACTATTGTATATTATGAGAGATAGCAAATCTAGAATGATAGATCTGCAATGTCTATGGAGAGATAGAGCGGCCTTAGGTGTGCAGAGAGTTCTACTTAGAAGGGGTGAGGAATGAACCATCAGTTGTCAGTCACTGCCCAGATATTTATTTATTTCAGGTACTTATATAGCGCCGTCAATGTACGCAGCACTTTACATATATATATTATACATTCACATCAATCCCTAACCCTCAAGGGGCGTACAATCTAAGGTCCCTAACTACATTCGTACATACACATACTAGGGACAATTTAGACAGAATCCAATTCACCTACCAGCATGTCTTTGGAATGTGGGAGGAAACCCACGCAGGCACAGGGAGAACATGCACACTCCAGGCAGGAGGTGCTGTGGCTGGGATTCGAACCAACAACCCTAGTACTGCCAGGTGGAAGTGCTAACCATTTCACCATGCATCTTTTCTATTGTAAGAATACAAGGTCCCACTTGGATTTCATTGCTTATTGTATTAGAAATTCATTCTGCATACTTTTTAATAGATGATTGTGTGCCTGTGTATAAATATATGATATAGATCAGGGTGGGCAAATGTGGCCCTCCAGCTGTTGTGGAACTACATGTCCCATGACTGACCATTACAAGCATGAGGCATGATGGGACTTGTATTTCCCCAACAGCTATAGGGCCACAGCTGCCCACCCCGATATAGACGCACACAGAGTCAAATGTATATCAGTATTGTGTGATGTGATGTGTTTGGACAAGGACTGCCCCTGATTTTGCTGTATTCTCTATGAATGACAGTAGTATATATCTATTTGTTGCAGGGTCTCTGAAAACCTCATCGCTCTGTCGCTCTTCATGTACTAAGACTCCACAATGGCTTCCAACGACAGCATCCTCAGCTCGGCTTACCTTGCCGTTGAATACATTGACTCTCTCCTGCCAGACAATCCTTTACAGCGACCATTTAAACATGCCTGGATCTACATGCTGGACAACTACACCAAATTCCAAATTGCCACATGGGGATCCCTCATTGTCCATGAAGCCATTTACTTCTTGTTCTGCCTGCCTGGCTTTCTCTTTCAGTTCATACCGTACATGCAGAGGTTTAAAATCCAGCAGGTGCGTCCATCTTTGCACATTATTTATCCTGTTTATAGCTAGACTCCATATGTGATCTTTATTGCCTAGTTACATTGGTCCAGCTTGGCACAGTGGAAGTATGCATATCTTAGATTGCAAGCTCTAATGAACAGGGCCCTCTGTTTCCTCTTGTAGAAGATTGTATTGGAATTGTAATGTCTACCTTCGTTTTGTAAAGTGCTGCACAAACTGTTAGCACTATATAAATCCTGTATAATAATAATATCTCACACCTGTAGGACCTCTGGGGAAGTGAAGAATCACTGTACTAGTCAGTGCTATTACAGCCATAGCCCCAATCTGCCTGGTCTTGTGCCAAGCAGCTTGCTTTCTGCACACTGACCACAGGGTTTCACTTGCTTCGCATTGCCTAGAACAGCCTTTTTCAACCAGGGTGCCTTGAAGTTTCTATAGGGATGCCTTTGCAAAATGCTTAAAAATTGCACAAAATTGTATACAAGCCAGCGGGTGGATCAAGCCTGTCTTCGTTACACAAAGCCATAGTTTTCAATGTGCACATTACAGCCTTCTAATTACCGGCATCCTAACAACCAATGACGCCAACAGTTGATATGGAGGATGTCGGTCACTGGTATGGCATTCTTGTTTGACCCTCCCCTTCCCCCTTCTGTCAGTGCTGGGGTCACATTAGCTGAGTGATAGAGAGAAACTGAGGGAGAAGAGAAACATTGGAATACTAGTCAGTATCAGTGTGCAAACATGTATTTGCTTTGGAAGAATAAATCTCCTCTAACATTGGGTGTTTAAAAGGTGTGGGTGTTGCTGCATTAGGTACAACTATTAGAATAGTTTTTTTACGTTTTAGAATGGGGTGCCTCAAGATTATTCATAACCTTAAAGGGTGCCTTGACTGGAAAAAGGTTCAGAAACACTGACCTAGAACACCTTGTATTTTTTTTAAATTGAGTACAAGGCATTTTCTGATAGGTTGAGATGAGGTGGTGATGTCACAATCTCCACCTCATGCAAACAGAGAACTCCTTATATTCACTGAGAAAAATACAAGGCATTCAGTTAATGGCAGCAGTGCTAAGTGAGCAAGTCCTTGTGGTCACTGTGTAGAGAGGAATCCACACAAGACCCAGAATATTATGGCCAACTATTACAGAGATTGTCAGCTTCCACAGTAGCCCATCAGGTATGAGATATGAACACTCGATTCAACCGTGCCAAGTTGGACCAATGTAACTAGGCAATACAGATCATACTAAGACTTCAGCCTAAAGCTCACTTGCACAGGGATTTTTAAGGATGCTTTGTAATACAGGTAAGGCATCTAATCCAGTGCACTTGGGCCAGCATTGGTCTGAATGTATTTGTAGACATATGGAGCACTGCAAGGGTTAAATAAGTGAAGTCTAGGGGCAGAAGAAAAGACGGTAATGTTAACATATTACTCACTCCTCTAGCAGCCGGCTCTCTTCTCTCTCTGTGAAGGTCCTGGTTGTAGGCAGGTCCTCAGCATCCTCACGTATAATGCAGGACTATTGGCCCTGCATTGTACTTGATGTGACCTATGGCCAGAGCACCCTAGAGAAGAGGCACTAGGGGACCAGTCACACAGAAGGCGGAAGACTGCCAGAGTGGGAAAAAGGTAAGTATTACAGCTTATTCCTACACCCCTAGACTTATTGAACATTTATCCCTTGTGGAGGGGACCCCTACAAGGCTACTTTTATTTTTTGTTTTCTGTCTGCAATGGGGTTTTAAAACTCTCCGCATTGCCACCTAGCTTTTTATCCTGTTTCAAATTAACATTTCTCAACAAAATGACTGTACTTTCTGTCATTTTATTATTCAGAATTTTCTAGATAGTGGTTAATACAGATCCCAGATCCTGCGGCGTCTTTGTTTTCACTTCTGGAAACCTGGCAAACTAGTTTTGGTAAGGTCTTTTCTGCACTGAAAACAAGACAAAAGCAACAAAGTGTAGGGTCCTAACACTAAGGCTTTCACTGACAAACCCTAACACTTAGCCTAACCCCCTCAAAATGGAAATTTAAAGAGTAACTCCACTTTTGTGAAAAAAAACAAAATATAGCAAATAAAGATAATATAACATATACAATAATTGCGCAAGCCATATTGTAATAATTGTTATTAAAATTTACCTCTCCTTCCTTTTCAAACTGCAGTGTTTAATTTTCTATTAAATTCAATGCAGTATGGCAACCTGTGGACCTTCTGTACAGAGTTGGTGTACAGAACTTCCCCACAATGTCATTTCCTGCTTGTGTGATTGTTCACTGCTTTTACCTGAAGTCTCTAAGATACAAGTACCATCCTCTGCAGTCTGGCACTTTTGGCGAGCTACTCCTTAAAGGTTAGTGATACTAAAGGTTCAGCAGCCTTTGGTGACGGGGGGGAAACGGGTACCCCAGGTACCCACACCCACTTCCGCTGCAATCGCCTAGGCGGGTACCAAGTTTTCCGCCCCCTCTCTCCCCGAAGTCTTGTGGGACAGCAGGTCCCAGAAGACTCGGGCCATTCGCGCATGCGCAGTAGTGGGCACCAGGTTGTGAAGCCACAAGCTGTCACAGCCGGGTGCCCACACTGAAGATGCCGGGACCTGGAATACAGTACGGCCGGTGAAACTGGCTGTGGCGGGGGCAACACGGGATCCTGGGACAGGTGAGTAGCTGTTTTGTAAAAGTCAGCAGCTACAGTTTTGTAGCTGCTGACTTTTATTTTTTTACAGAGTGAGTGGAGCTCCGCTTTATAAAAAAAAAAAAAAAAGTGTCATCTTTACCTTCTCTGTGCTATGGTTTTGCACAGAGCAGCTCCAATCCTCCTCTTTTCTGGCTCCTCCCCCCTGCTGAGTGCCCCCATAGCAAGCTACTCGCTGCGGGGACACTTGTGTGCACTCGCTCCCGAGCCACCTTTGTGTGTCCATAAGACACACGGAGCGCGGCTTGGCCCTGCCCCTCACTCCCTCCTCACTGGATGTGACTGAAATCAGCAAGAGCTGCTGCTGGGTCTCAGCCAGTGAGGAGAGAGTGACCTGGGAGAGCCGCTGCTCTCATGCACAGCACTGGATCATGATAAAGCTCAGGTAGGTATTGGGGGGCTGAGGGGGAAGCTGCACACTGAACGTTTTTTACTTTCTTGCATAGAATTCATGAAAGTAAATTGTGCTGTCATACCTGCTGGATAAGCCCAATCTTTCTTTACTACTAATGAGAGATCTTAATGGGTATCTGCACCCTACCCTGGACAGGTATCCTCCATTGTAAATTGCCACTGGTGCCCGTGGTACTGCTCTTTCCTGTAGAAGAAGGTTGGGCTAACAGTGAGCTGGTCTTGAATAGGCTTCTAAAAAGTATCCCAGCATTCAGGCTTGCATTATTATATTTTTGCAGGCTTATATATAACATTTTCCTACCCTTTTAGGCTTTATCCACATGGCCACATGAGGGTGTATCGTATGCATGGAGTGTAATAAGCTATAAGGGAGCCACAGGTGCAGTGTGCAGTCTGCTGTCAGATCTCTGCTGACCGCTGATTCATAGTTCAAGGTGTCAGACAAAGACAATGTATGTAAAGCCGAATAACATGAACATAAATCTTTTACAAGCACTGCTGCACTAGTTCAGTAAGTTGACACTGAATATGCAGATTGTTACATAAGAGTAGTTGTGTCTAGATCTCTTTGACACCAGCACAAAAGCAGGCACCTTCTGATACTTACTCCCTACTTGCAACCCCACATGTTGGTGCATAATTGTTAGTTTTCTCTGGGTTGGACTGTACAGAACACTAAATACCTGCTGTCCACCTGCATTGCTCTTGTAACCTGGCTGCTCAGTCATCTGGGGCTGCATTATGGGGAGCAAACATGAAAAACAAGCCCACAAATACTTGGAACAATCTAGTTATTTTGGGGGCTTTGACACATCCTGAAGGGTGTCTACTATCCTATAAACTTGTTGCTTTTTCTATTCTGGTTCACTTTAACCCCTTGTCTACCAATATACATTTATACTGCAGGATATACAAGGGGTTAAAGTAAGCTCATGGCTGCTATGAGCTTGCTATTGATTTATAGAACTGGTGATGGTCATTAAGATAAAAGTGATCTGGGCTGCTCTAGAGTTGCCCAGATCAGTTTTATGGGGCTGTGAATGTGTGCTCCCACCATATTCATTTCCCGATCCCCCTGTAGGTAATGAACCCAGAAGTGACATGTATTTCTTCTGGGTTCACAGCTGTCATTCCTTGGCTACTGTAGCTGAGGATGTAGCAAATTCATTAAACTCTGTGCTAGATTAGCTGCAGCAGATGGGCAAGGGTAAAATTTGGGGGGTCTTCATGAAGAAGATCTGTCTCCTGTCCAATGCAATCACATAGGGAGCATGTTAGCACCCTTGTGATAGTAATTAAGTTAAACAAAGAAAAAAAAAAGTATACATGAAATACAGTACATCTAAATACACACCTGTCACCCCATACACACCCCAATTCAAATGAACATGGTAGGTGAGCATGTGTATATAAATTGCACCAGACATGTGAGGTATCATCGCAAACGGATTGAGAGCTATAATTCTAGGGTCATAATGCATGGTAACTCTAAATTGATAACCTGTAAAGGCTTTTAAAGATCCCCCTATTGACAGTTTTGGGTACCATCGTTTTTTTTTTGTAATTTCACAGGTATGTGCAATTTTAAGGCTTGACATGTTTGGTATCTATTTACTCAACACAACCCCATATTTTATATTTTACAAAAAAATGGGTATTATTTTACAAAAAAATGGGTATAATATTGTGTTTGTTTGCAGTAAAATTAGTTTTAGTGTTTTCTTTCTGAACAGATGTGTTTGATAAATAGCTACGCAAATATCATGCAACAAACAATTTAAACCACCAGCATTTTATTCTCCAGTGGCTCTGCTTTCAGAAAATATATACTTGTTTGGATGTTTATAGCAAATTTTAGTGTGTGCAAAAAATTTAAATATTGCCCTGGTAGACAAATGTGCAGACTTAACCACCTAAGCTTTTTCTCCATCACTAACCTAATTGCCAACTCTGCATTAACCTTTTATATACTTAATTTATTCAACATCTGAAGCAGTGTCAATGAAGTCTTCCAGTCCAGTGCTAAAAAACGCCATGATATGAGTGCTGGAAGCTATGGAGTCTCAAATCCTATGCCTAGTTCTTGTACAAGTATCATGTATATTAGGAATATGGTTGGACTTTTGATTCCTTTACGTCATGATTGTTTACTTGGAAGCACTGATAGATTACATTAATGTACATTGCCCATGCTTTCATTTCATTATAAGCATTTTATTTTTATGACATTTATAGGAAGGTTGCAGAAACCAAACTAATAATTGCAGTTCTTACAGTGATGGTATAGTAGTATGGGTCTGAGCATATCGTATGATGTTAAATTCCTCTTGAAGGATTTTAATATCCTGGAATATTGATGTTCTGTAACCAGTAAATGTTTTTCATGGCTAACATAAGCTGATGACAGGTGACATGTGACTATGTCACATAATATTTTTAAGAGCATACAGATCATTTCACTTTGCTCTGCTCATTGTTACTTTATCTATACAGCAGGTTATTTTAATTTATATACTGTATTATTGAATTTTTTCAGCGCTTCAATATTGCAGACAAACAATGCTGATTGATATACATAACGTGTATCTGTACTTTATATATTGGAACTGTTACAAATTGATATTATTAAACACACATTCACCAACAAAATGTTTGACAGTTGAACCACCTAGGGGTTTTCATGAGAGTGACCGCTTGATTAATCACATTGTAGGATTTCAAATAGTTTACACATGATTTAGAAATATTCTTTGGATTATGTGAACTTTTCCACTGTGTGATTTTGGGTATTGTTCATAAAATAATTGTGTGCACTGTTCATAACAACCCATCTCTCCCTAAAAGTCTATGATATGCTTTAGGCTTATTCACACTGGCACTGTTAAACCTGCATAGTTTAGAAGACATGTATAAATGCATGTAATGCATAATGTAATTCAGTGGTGTCATTCACACTGTGTGGTTTCCTAGATTTAGGTGCAGTCAGCTTAGCTGCATTCAGAGAAAATGGAATTCCGTGTATCTGGGATCTAATTAGAAACTCTAAACACATGTAAATGAGGTTAATTCGGCTTTAAAGCAGGAACTTTTCCATGTGAAAAAAAAGTAATTTAAGAAGCATAAAAGTTTCTTATACCTCCCAGATCACTTCTCCTGCTTTTAGAAAAGCCAAACACAAGATTGGCAGTGTGAATGAGGCCTTAGTAATATGAAACTGGTAGCTGTGCTCAGTTTTGGAAGTGTTGCTGTACGTTGAAAATCTCTGATTCCCCCTTTGTCAATGTAGACTGTAAATGTATTGCTGTCACTCCATAATTGGAGAGGCCTGTGACTTAATACTCTAGATCCTATACCAGCCATTCTCAACTAGGGTTCCTTCAGATGTTCATAGGGGTTCCTTGACCAGTGGCTGATTGACCTCCCATCTGAAGGTATGTCCATAGTTTAGGACCCAAACCCACTTGAAAGAGCATTCTGACCACCATTGCAAAGGAAGGATTCTTCCTACACCATCAATATAAAGATCATTATTTCCAATGTCTCCTAATGAATTAATTTTAACCGGGATTCCCCGAGACCTGAAAATATTTCAAGGGTTCTTTTGGGGTGAAAAAGTTGAATTTCTGTCTTAGACTTTGAAAAATTACACTAATGTTGAAATGTGCTGATTAACCATTGAGGAAAAATACTGGCGCGTGGAAAGTCAGTGATTTTACTAGGCTTTTTTTCTATTTGACTTGTAGCCTCTTTTTCAACCTCTGTTGTACTGACTGTATGCTTATTATCAGTATCTCATGTTCTGATTGTATCCATATATCATTTATTATAGGACAGACCGGAGACATGGGAAGGCCAGTGGAGATGCTTTAAAATGCTCCTGTTCAATCATTTCTGCATCCAACTTCCTCTGATCTGTGGCACATACTACTTCACAGAGTTTTTTTAACATACCCTATGATTGGGATAGCATGCCTCGATGGTGAGAGAGTTTTATCAGTTTTAAAGAAAGCCTAACAGAAAAGAAATAGGGGTGGGGGCACATTGATGATATTTTTTTAAAACTGCCAACACACTGGCTGTCATACTTAAAGTGATTCTAAAGGTTCATATTTTTTTGTGTAAAATAACAAACATGCTATACTTACCCCATAAATCTTTATAATGACAAGTGAAAGCAGCACAAAAAATCAAGTATAACATAGTGACACAAATAAATATACAATTAAATATTGTGCTATAACAAATAAATGTAAATATATAAAAATCAATTAAATTAAAATAAATCAGTAAAAGTCCAATTCATCAAACGCATAAATACTTCAAATAAGTCCACCAAAAAAATAAAATAAAATGTGATTGAACAAAAAGCCCTTCTGATCCATTGAAGTCACCACGTGAGCAAATTAAATTAATTGAGTAAATGCATGAAACTTCACAGAAGTGTCACTACGTGCTCCTGAGGATAACCTCCCCCAATTCAGTGGCACTTACCAGATATCGTGGCCCATCTAAACTTGATAGGCCATCACGCTTATGGTGAGTGTCAGACTTTATAAGGATTCTCAATCACTTAGTCCCTCAGCAATTAGAGGCTGATTAGATGGCGGGACATCCTCCAAAATATTTACTCCATCACTCCCAGGAACTGGTCACTGATGTCATATACAGTTGCAAGAAAAAGTATGTGAACCCCTTGGGATTACGTGGAGTTTTGCATGAATTGGGCATAAAATGTGCTCTGAACGTCATCTAAGTCACAACAATAGAAGAACACAGTCTGCTGAACATAATACTACACAAACATTAGATGTTGCCATAGTTTAATTGCACATAACATGTAAACATTCACAGTGCAGGGAGGAAAAAGTATGTGAACCTTTGGACTTAATAACTGGTTGACCCTCCTTTGGCAGCAATAACCTCAACCAAACGTTTCCTGTAGTTGCAGATCAGACCTGCACAACGATCTGGAGTAATTTTGGACCACTCCTCTTCACAAAACTGTTTCAGTGTAGCAAGATTCTTGGGATGTCTGGTGTGAATCGCTCTCTTAAGGTCATGCCACAGCATTTCAGTCGGGTTGAGGTCAGGACTCTGACTGGGCCACTCCAGAAGGCGTATTCTGTGCTGTTGCAGCCATTGTTTTGTTGAATTACTTGTATGCTGTGGGTCATTGTTCTCTTGCATCACCCATCCTCTGCGGAGCTTCAGTTGGCGGACAGATGGTCGTACGTTTTCCTGCAAAATGTCTTGATAAACTCTGGAATTCGTTTTCCCATCAATGACAACAATCCGTCCAGGCCCTGAGGCAGCAAAGCAGCCCCAAACCATGATGCTCCCTCCGCCATGTTTTACAGTGGGGATGAGGTTTTGATGTTGGTGTGCTGTGCCTTTTTTTCTCCACACATAGTGTTGTGTGTTCTTCCCAAACAACTCAATCTTGGTTTCATCTGTCCACAGTATATTTTGCCAGTAGTGCTGTGGAACATCCAGGTGCTCTTTTGAAAACTTCAAACGTGCTGCAATATTCTTTTTGGACAGCAATGACTTCCTCCGTGGTGTCCTCCCATGTACTCCATTCTTGTTTAATGTTTTCCTTATTGTAGATGTGTCAACAAAAATGTTAGCATGTGCCAGAGATTTCTGTAGGTCTTTAGCTGACACTCTGGGATTCTTCTTTACTTTATGCAGCATTCTGCGCTGTGCTCTTGCAGTCATTTTTACAGGACGACCACGCCTAGAGAGAGTAGCAACAGTGCTAAACTTTCTCCATTTGTAGACAGTCTGTCTTACCGTGGACACATGAACATCAAGGCTTTTGGAGATACTTTTGTAACCCTATCCAGCTTCATGCAAGTCAACAATTCTTGATCGTAGGTCTTCTGAGAGCTCTTTTCTGCGAGGCATGGTTCACATCAGACAGTGCTTCTTGAAACCAGTAAACCCAAAACAGATGTGTGTTTTTTAAGGGCAGGACAGCTGTCAGCAACACATCCAATATCATCACACTGATTGGAGTCAAGGTTGGCTCACTCCTGGCTCCAATTAGCTCTGGGAGAAGTCATTAAGCTAGGGCCTCACATACTTTTTCCTCCCTGTGAATGTTTACATGTTATGTGCAATTAAACCATGGCAACATCTAATGTTTTTGTGTAGTATTATGTTCAGCAGACTGTGTTCTTCTATTGTTGTGACTTAGATGAGGTTCAGAGCACATTTTATGCCCAATTCATGCAAAACTCCACGTAATCCCAAGGGGTTCACATACTTTTTCTTGCAACTGTACATCTCATGCTATACTTACCTACTGTGTGCAGTGGTTTTGCACAGAGCAGCCTAGATCCTCCTCTTGTCGGGTCCCCCTGCAGGCTCTCCTGGCTCCTGAGTCCTGCTGTTTAGAGGATTGAAGGCTGATATCAAGTCAAAGTTAGGTATTTAAACCAATTACATTGAAAACATACATTTAAAGGAAAACTGTACTTTTTTGGACCCATCTCCTCTTTGAGTGCAGCCTGCCTGTAATAATACCTCTCAGATGTTGAGGAATGCAAGTATATTGCCAGGTGGAATTCACTCATAGGTTTATTTAAAGGACAGTTTTAACAAAAGTAAAGATTGAGGCTAGGTTCACACTACTGCGGCTGCGATTTGATCTGATTTTCAATGCAATTATGTAGTTGCATATTGGATTTGGTTTACATATTCTGTAGCACCAAAATCACTCTGGAATTGCACCAAAGTTGCACAAGACCCTTTTCCAGAATCTTGCCATGCTATGCTGCATTGGTGTGAACGGGCACCATTGAAAACAATGTGGTTTATATTGTCATGTGATTCTGTGGGACTCAAGTCACATCTGAATTCGCACTAGTATGAATCAGGCTTTAATAATGAATACCCGACTACATTAATCTGTGCCTGTATTAATCCAGATCTGCCTGGAGTTCACCTATAAGTGTATATCCAAAACCAAGCTAATAAACAATCTTGCAATGTAACTCACATATGTGCATATCTGTTATATGTTACATGCAGAGTTGAATTCATAACTGGCCTGACTACTGTAAAGGGCAGCAGTAACACACAAATATCTGTAAAACCCAGTGCTCCACCTCCTTGTGCCTAGGTCTGCAGTTCATCTGAAGTTTTATGTTGGCCATACACATGACAATCCTCAAACAATTCAACTACTTTTATTCAGCCTATTATTTGCACAAATGATCAAATAGATCAAGACAGACAACAACAGCATGGATGTAAAAAATATGGTTGATAGAAGATTAAGTGTTCAATTGAAATTGCATGAAATAACAAATTTACAAAAATGCATTCAGTAACGAGAGGAAAAACAACAAGAATGACGACTGAATGATCCTGACAGTTCTCAGGCCATAGGGAAAGTATAAAATATTTACCTGTTGGTAACATTCCTGTAGTCAGTCCAGCACTCACTTAAATTTGTACTACAGTTACTGAGCTGGATACAGTCTACAGTACCTTTCCTTGATCATTGGTTACGAGGTTGTACAGAATGACCCACCTTCCCCCTGATCACCCAACTATCCAACAACGTAGCTAGCTAACAAAAAGACAGCTGCTTGATAACTGGTGTGTGTTTCCGCACTAAGACAAATGGCAGGATGAAGAATGCAGAGGGACAGAAGGCTGACATGCCCTATCCCCCCCTCTCCTTTCCTTATATTCCTGTTGCCACCACTTGTCTTGGGCAAGTGTTTAGAACCGAGGCAAGGTTCACACACAGCCATGTCCTTGCTAGCTACAGTATGTTGTCTGATGGCACCAGGAGGTAAGGAAGTGGGGGGCGCCCTGTCCGTACTTTGTCCCCTGGGGGACAGAACACTTACAATATTGAAGTGAGAGTTCTTCTTTAAGCTTAATAAATACTTGTGTATTTTCAACTGATATCTGTAAATCTTACAGATATTTGTTTTCCTTATCTTTGTGGTTACGTAAGGAGTATTTCTTAGGAAGTAAACCAGATTTTTGTCAACATATCAACTCCATTGCTTTGTTTTGTGATTACAGGTATATGTTGCTGGCCCAATGTCTTGGTTGTGCCGTCATTGAAGATACCTGGCATTATTTCCTGCACCGTGCACTGCACCACAAGCGCATCTACAAGTACATCCACAAAGTGCATCATGAGTTTTTGGTAATTTCAGATTTCTTGATACTATAACTGAATTCTTTATACATAAAGTCTGTTACTGACGGACTGAAGGTACATGGTTATAACGTGTTGCATGTGTGTTGCAGTCTCCATTTGGGATGCAGGCTGAGTATGCACATCCTCTGGAAACACTGATATTAGGAGCTGGATTTTTTATCGGAATTATGGTTTTCTGTAATCATGTCATTCTTCTGTGGGCCTGGGTTACAGTCAGACTTTTGGAAACAATAGATGTCCACAGGTAAGCGGAGTTCATATCTGTAAAAAAACGTTCCTTGCCTGTGCTAACTGATTTCACTGTAGAGCTAATCATACACAGATTGAAATTTAGCCTGTTCAGCAGGGATTGGCCAAATTTTGATTAGTGTTTGGCTGTCCCTGTCTGACAGAAGTGGATTGTGAGATCAAATTCTGCCAAGCAAACAGGTTGGGAAAACCTTTGTCAATCAGGAGCTGCAGCTGTACCAGGTCCTGCTGTCACAATACAATGTCCCGAAGGGGGGATTCCTTCATCAACCTTGTTTGTGTGGATGGAGGAATCTTTTCTCTGCTTTTTTCTTTCAGCCTTCTTGCTGAACGTAAACAAAAAATCTATGGCCAGCTTAACTTTGCTATAGTCCTTAGTGTCAAACAACAACCTCTTATAAGATTGTACGCATATTTGAGTTTGTTTTTGAACCCACCAAAGCAGTCGTTGAGTAATTCACATTCCTTTTACTCTTTAATTGAGTGCATACTTTGTCATATGTTCAGATTGCAATGTAATAATGCTGAGAGCTTACAATGTCTCTTGTCTTTAGCAACTCAGATTAGATTGCTGATTAACAAACAATATCAGGTTATCTCTATTCACAAAAAGGGAGCTTTCAATATACTTTAGTTGTAGCTTGTTCCTTTCCTATAGTTTTGATTTTGTCCATTTCTTTAAAAAGAAAAATTAAACTGATTCAGCAGTACTTGAACTGAAGTTCCATTTGCACATATTTCAAATTCTTCCACATTTCTTCTTGGAGAAAAACAAAGTGAATGGTGGAACTTCCTGACCACTTATGCCAGCCAAAATGGACATTGCAGACCACTATAAATCCCCCCCCAAATCTGAGATTTATAATGGTTCTTAACAAAATATATAATATATAACATATTACACAGATAATGCAAACAACACAAAATAATAATAGGAAAACTTGGCTACGTTGGAAAACCTACCTTACAATTTACCATCCTGTTAATCACCTTTACCATTGAAACCTGTTCATCTAGAACAGCCTTTCTCAACTAGGGTTTCTCCAGAGGTAGGGGTTCATTGAGCAATGAACAAGTTATGCCTCTCAGTTAAGTAACTGCTGACAACAGCTTTTTTTTAGCTATCTGTAAAGGGGTAGTCTTCCCAGTGACCATCACACTATTGTACATAGATATAGGAATTATTGTCAGGAGTTCCTGAAGACCGAAACTTTATGTCAAAGGTTCCTGCTGAGACAGGAGTAACGGCAGAAGATATTAGAACCAGCATTACTTTCTTGTTATAGTGCATGTATAGCTTCAGAGACAGGATAACCAGCCAGATTATGGTTCTTTTATGTGTATTTAGACCAATGTTTCTCAACCTTTTTTTCAGTCAAGGCATCCTTTAAAATTCTGCACAATCTTGAGGCACCCCATGCTAAAATGTAAAGAGCTAAACTAATAGTTTTACATAACACAGCAACATTCGCTCATGTAGCACTCATGGATTCTTACAAAGCGAATACACCTTTGCACACTGGTACTGACTAGTATTCCATTGTTCCTCTCCTCTCCCCTTCCTCAGCTAAAGTGACCCCATTGGTGATGGAAAAGGGGTAAACAAGGATGCAGGCACCTGACATCCTCTTTATCAACCAAATCATCCCTTGTTAGGATGTCAGTGGCTTACTCTCACAGTGCCTGAGGTTGTAATGGTGCACAATAAAAACCTGTGGTTTGTGCAACAAAGAGTCAAGCTTAATCCACTTGCTGGCTTGTTGACAATTTTTAGGTAATTTGGGCAATTGTTAGGCATCTTGCCAAAGCACTCCAAGGTGCCTGGACACCCTGGTTGAAAAAGACTGAATTAGATAAGTTTCACTATCTCTCTTTTTTTTTTTTCTCAATAGCATTCTTTTACCAAAGATTTTATTAAGCATGTTAAAAGAAACATACAGACCATGACAAATCGTATCATACAAAGCGACAACAAACAATAAAAGAAAGGGAAACCTCATACAACAAACACAGAGATACAGTTGTGGCCAAAATTATTCAACCCCCACTGAAATTGAGTGTTTTGGCCAGTTTGACATTGCTTTTGATCATTCAGTCATCTTGCTTACATTTACATTAAAGAGGCACTTGTAGGTCAGACAAATATAACATAACAGTTATAATGAAATAACCACAATGTGTCTTTTCTGTGCTCACAGCATTATCAGTTTTATTCAACCCCCAAGTGACATTCAATCTTAGTACTAGTACAGCATCCTTTTACAGTTATAACAGCTTTTAAACGTGAAGCATAGCTTGACACAAGTGTCTTGCAGCGATCTACACGGGTATCTTCGCCCATTCTTCATGGGCAAAGGCCTCCAGTTCTTGTCACATTCTTAGGCTTGCGCACTGCAACTGCTTTCTTTAAGTCCCACCAGAGGTTCTCAATCGGATTTAAGTCTGGTGACTGCGATGGCCACTCCAAAATGTTCCAGCCTTTCCTCTGCAACCATGCTCTAGTGGACTTGGAGGTATGCTTGGGATCATTGTCCTGTTGAAAGGTCCAACGTCTCCCAAGCCTCAGGTGTGTGACGGACTGCATCACGTTTCCATCCAATATCTCCTGGTACTGAAGAGGAATTCATGGTACCTTGCACACGCTGAAGCTTCCCTGTACCTGCAGAAGCAAAACAGCCCCAAAGCATGATTGACCCTCCACCATGCTTCACAGTAGGCAAGGTGTTCTTTTCATCATAGGCCTTGTTCTTCCTCCTCCAAACATAGCGTTGATCCATGGGCCCAAACAGTTCTAATTTTGTTTCATCAGTCACAACTTTTGTGGTTTGTCCACATGGCTTTTGGCATACTGCAGTCGACTCTTCTTATTCTTTGGAGACAGCAAGGGGGTACGCCTGGGAGTTCTGGCACGGAGGCCTTCATTACGCAGTGTGCGTCTTATTGTCTGGGCTGAAACTTCTGTACCCACATCTGACAAATCTTTTCTCAGTTCCTCAGCAGTCACACGGGGACTTCTCTCCACTCTACGCTTCAGGTAGCGCACAGCAGTCGAAGTCAGCATCTTCTTTCTGCCACGACCAGGTAGTGTTTCAACAGTGCCCTTTGCCTTGAATTTTGCGAATGATGCTTTCTAAGGTGTCTCTTGGTATGTTTAACATCTTTGCAATCTTCTTATAGCCATTGCCCTTCCTGTGAAGAGAAATCACCTCTTCTCTTGTCTTCCTGGACCATTCTCTTGCCTTTCACCATGTTTGTAACCACACCAGTAAATGTCTAGAAGGAGCTGAGTATCACAGTCATTTTAAAGCTGCCTAATTGGTGCTTATTATGCTTGATTGCTGCTCGGTGACATCCACAGGTGTTTTCAATACCTGATGGAAAGCACCTGTATGAACCTCTGTTCTTCAGAGTGGTAGTCTTTAAGGGGTTGAATAATTGTGGCAATGAAGAAACCACATAAGAACCATTTACTACTGTATTACATAAACAATTGATGTCATTTTAGTTGCATTTGGGTAGTTACAACGTCCTTGTAGGATTTGATTCTGAATACAATTCCAAATGTACACTATAGTCCCTAAACCCCTTTACAGCATTGGGGGTTGAATAATTTTGGCCACAACTGTACACATACAAGACCCACTCTGGGGTCCCAATTTTCACGATTTTAATGAACTGTCAATTGTCTGACTTAACATTTATCTGCTCTGTAAATTGCCTTTCAAATAATACGTCCATATCTTTTTCAGTGGTTATGACATTCCTCTGAATCCATTACATCTGGTCCCATTTTATGCCGGTGCCCGTTTCCATGACTTTCATCACATGAATTTCATTGGTAACTACGCATCAACATTCACATGGTGGGACAAACTCTTCAACACAGACTCTCAGTACAACAGTTACAGAACGAAAGTCAAGACACAAGAAGCAAAGAAGACCAAATAATTTATTTTTTAAACGCTGCTTAATTTTCTAGCATTCAGATCATTCAGTGCTCTTAATAAATCCTCACTGCTATCACAGATGGAAGAAGACACGGACTGGCATGCAGCTTGTCTGCAGAAGAGTCATATGTGTGGAAACCAGCAACAAACCTATTGGCAGCTGCCAGCATACAGACGTCACATTGGCCTTAAAGTCAAACTGAGAAACTGAAGTGACCCCGAACTTTAGAAACAGTTGATAGCTACTTGCCAAGTGCAGCTTTTCAAAAAGGATATAGAGACTGCAAGAATGGCTCTTTTGTTGCCTTCACTTTGGTGATGGCTTTGCTCATACAAAAGTGTCCACTTTGTGAAATGTTTGATTTTATTTTTTTACATAATACATGTTTTAATTATTATTTTTCACAGTTGAGAATGGTGTCTTCTCCACTGTGGCAATTACTTTGATTCTCTATTTGTGTTGATGGTGCAAGTTTTCCAGGAATTTACACCTTACCGTGCTGACAGTGCTGTTTTAGCTGCTGAAATCAGGGCATAAATTGCATAATTTGACTCATTTATTAATGCAACACGAGGGAACCAGTTGGCAAGTATTTGTCACAATTCTTATTCCTCTAAACTGAGAAAAATTAAATGTGGTTGCTTTTTGGATTCTTATTACCTGTAAGCATAGGCCAGATTTTTGCAGAGACATCTAACGCAAAACTGTAGTTTGACGCTTCTGTTACCTGCATCTATTGTATATAGGGAATGGTTTTGTAATGATAGGTCATGTGGTGATTGAGGTCTCATAAGAGCTGACAACCAGAGAGTATCTCCTCCACTGCTTAAGTCATCATTGGATTGTCTCAATCCAGAAAATAGAAGCATACCCCTTCATCAGAAAATGACAGCGCAAGGATGGCTCTGCTTTGAACCATTAAAGTTCAATTTTAAATGCAATAAGCTCAGATTAGAAAAATATGTCATACAAGCTGCTTACATCAATTTAGGATGTGCTGTACTTGGTGGATGGTTTTTATGGTGCACTTTGAAATTGTGATCTTTTCATTTAAGAATACAGTGTTGATATATAAATAGACTTTTCAGTATATGTCAGACTATACATTGTGGGAAAGGCCACAAACTTAAACCGCCTATATTTTTTTCAGGTGGTAGTTCTTATTCCCAATCCAAAATAACAGCACATTTGACCACCTTTCCCCCTTCATTTTCCACGCTAAAAGAATGGATGGTCAATTTGCAATGGTTAGCTTAGTCATCTGATATCATTTCCCCCTAGTGCTACCCAACTGGTCAACTAGAATAAGGAGACCTGTACAGTTTGGCATATCTGCATATTTGTGGAGAAAGCAAGACTGATTGCCTAAGATGTGGCTGTGCTGATATCCTACTTTGTTTGGGAAACTTTCATCAAACTATATTGATCATTAGTTTTCTTTTCTGGCTGTACACAGATCATAGTTTATGGTTTTAAGTCATTTTTGGCTCAGACATGTCAAAAGCAAGATGGAAAACGTTCACCTGACCTGTGTGTGTCGGGGAGTTGTCAGAAATGGCTCAAGTCCTGCATTGCCTGTAGTGAATGGGTGTGAATCAGGCTGTCTGTGTGTTCCCCAAATAATGGATATTTCCACCATCAGAAGCGTCCATAATCCCACACAGAGATCTTCAAATTAGTTGACAATCTCTTTGCAACAGGTGCTAATTAAAAGAAAAGTACTAAGCACGCGTGTATATTACACATTGTCAACTGAGTCATGCTGAGGATCACAGCAGGTTCTAGGAAAAGTAGATGCCTCACTGCCTATTCTATGGGAGATGATTGTAGTTTTTAATATGCTTGTTTGGCCACCCAAATACCAAGAACCTCTGAGCCCTGCCTCTTAAAGTGTTAAGTATCATCTTTAATTTGTTTTCAAGTCATTTCCTGTCATTCATTTTCCTGTTTTGTAATGGTGAAATAAAAAAAATGTTAATCATTCAGTCCCTGGTTTCTGTGATTTTTCTATACAACTGTAAAACGTGAAAGGTCTCTGAGTACATGGTAACTGGTCTCTTCAGTCTTAGGAAAGCTAGGTCAAATCTATCTGTAGATACATCTAAATACTCAACCATAATAAGTTATGTGGTAAAATGTAGTGCTCCTGGAAGTTATCTGTATGGAATCAATAAAGTTGTATTCATTGACTTTCTGCTCCTTTTAAAAGAGCTCTTTCACCACTTTCCGTGTGTTTTGCTCCCTTAATAAAGGAAGACAATACAAAGATACAAGTAGGCCTCTAAAGATACCATGAATGAAGATTGTTGCACACCATAAGCAACTCATTCAATTTATGTTTTGCACTGACACATCTTTTTTCATTGGAATATTTTCTGCAGTATTTCAAGTAATCCAAAATAACTGCCCAGCAAGTTTTTCATGGTGTTTGACACTCCTGTATGTTAATGTAAAGGAAAAATAAACACTGTCGTCTTTAAAGCTGAAGTCCAGCTTTTGGTACGCTTTACATAGTTTGTTTGGGCCAAGCTCGCTCAAACAAACTATATCCCTCACTAACGTGAAGCCACTTGATGTGCTGTATGAACTGTACGTAACTGAGGCTACATACAGCATAGTGTTCTGCTGTGACTTTTTTGTCTCAGACCCGTTTCCTACCTCAGCCCCGGAAAACAAAAATGTATGAGCAGCTCTCAGCTACTCATAGAAGGCAATGTATTCTATCAATGAATACAATGCTTCCTCTGATTGGCTGAGTCAGAAAAGCGGACAACCTAGGACTCTGTGTATTTATTGATCGAATACATCGCTTTCTATGAGTGGCTGAGTGCCGATCAGACAGACTGTTTTGTGTTCCGGGGCTGAGACAGGAGAGTTTTGGCTTGCAGCAGAACACAGTGCTGTATGCCTCAGCTACATACAATTTATACAGCACATCCAGCTTGGCCGAAACAAGCTATATAAAGTGTACCAAAGGCTGGACTTCAGCCTTAAAGAGCCTTGATATGCACTATTTAATAAAATAGAAGATAGTATGTGAAACCAAGAAATAAATATATATGCATACACGGAAGGAGTGCCAGACCAAAACATAAGAGTTCAAATTCATTCACTGGTATTGTGCTGAAAAACAGCCATTGCGTTTCAGGGGTCAAAGGAACTCCCCCTACATCAGGGCTTCAGTTAAAAATGAGAACCTTGAATGGACTCAAATTAAGACTTTCCTGTGTGAATCTGTTTAGGAAAGCTGATTGCTGGATTAGAAGAATTACTTGCCAGCAGTATCTGCATGAGCAATCAAGATACTACTAAATGAATTTGAACTCTTATCTTTCGGTCTGGCGCTCCTTCCATGCATGCATGTTTTTTCCTGGTAACCTGCTGGGGTACCCACTGGATGGCAGCCTTGTCTGTCGTAAGCAGCCTAACCTGAGCCAATGGGCTCTTCAAATGTTTTTGCCCTCTCATCACTTTATATAAACTCATATCAAAGTCCCAGAGTCTCTTGGATGCCTTTTTTTCATTAGAGATATATACAGTATATACTGTAGTATCGATAATGTGATACACCCGTGCAAAACATAAAACACTGTGTATGTGCATACAACTCTCCATCACTATAATTATCCTCTTAAATAAGAGTGACCATGCTCCATCCACCTCCAATGTGTAAATAGATCAGCGTGCTTGTTCCCTTCCCCTTCAGGCATGCACCTTACCCTGCATACATCGAAAAGTGCTTTTCAATCTTCACTTCGTTTTCTCCTCACCCGCTCTTGATAAACTTTCAGTGACCATATAAAAGCAGCATACAAGCCAATAGTGCAGCAGTAGTGTAAACTGATCAATTTAATGATAAAGTTGCGCTTATATGAAAGAGAAGTACAAACAACCTGTACAAAAATGGCAGCCCTGGCACTTCCGGTTACGTCTGACTTTGCATCTTCTGGCGCATTTCATCATCAAATTGACTTCCTCATAGGCAGGAATTGGGACTAGGACTGGCCATTGTCACCTTGTCCAAACTGTGTGTGGGCTGAATTAATTCATGAGGAAAAATTTTCCTGAGGTTGATAACCCAAAGTTAAAGCTCTTGCCCTCAGCCCTACTATTCTGTGTAGACAGAGATTGTGATCTGTCAGATTTCCAGAATGTCTTTATTTCCTGTGCTTATATGCAGAATCCTGTGGCATAAAGCTTGGGCAACTGATCTGGTGCATGCGCAGAAAAAGTGTATTTAGATTGCGAGTTTCTCTTTGGTAATTACCTCGTGGAACACAGGTAGCTTTTAAGGGGACCCCGTTATCCAAACTCACAACTACCTACGGAATGAGTATTCCCTACATTGCAAATTAGCTCCATTCACCCCCCCAGGCACAATCATAATCCACTGTGGCTACTTCAAATCAAGCCTGCCCCCACCTCGCCCCACCCCAAGTGGCAAAAAGACTTCCTTGAGCTAAAAGGTTCACTTCAGTTATAGAGGTGGAGGTGTAGTCCACTGACACCAACTTAAGAAAAAGATGTCTGGAACTTTCTTTCCTTCTACCTTTTACAGGAGGTACACAATTAGTTCTTATCTGCTTCTAATCGCTGCTTAGGAAAGAACAAGGTTTCTATAACCCAATTTGCACTTTATCATTACGAGTGATCATCTCCTTTACTTATAGGAAAATATGTAAGGACTTACCAACTCCTATATAGGAATTCCTGTCCTTGAAAGCCATAAATATAGCAATGCACAAGATTCAATGGTATAAACTACAATATTTCAGTAGTCAGGTTCCTATGAGCTTTTCTCTGACCCAAAGATTTGTTTTGGAGAACCCTTGTACATCTGTGGATAAATCTCTAATATCCTTGTAAGCGTTTTCTTACTGACAAGATTAGGCTTTTCCTCTTAACTTTATTTTTATGTTCCAGGAATATTGGGTTCTTCTACCACCCCTTGGATAACCAAGGGAAGCCTTGGAGACCTGTGGGAATAGGCCTCCAAAACC